CATAAATGATATCAAAGTTGAACTATTAAATCCCTGCTTAAAATCAAGCAATATTATACTTGCAATATTCGACATCGTCCAATGGAATCAACAGTGCAACACTATTGAAATCAGAAGCAATAAAAAAATTCTTCAACCAATTCTCAAATACCCTAGAAGAATGATAAAAATCAACTTCTTAACACTAATCCAAAGAATAATTCACCAAATATAACAAAAATCAATACAGATAATATATATCAAGCCTAAATCCAAACCACCGTCAATTAGATCCTTTCAGTGAAACAATTCCCTACCACACTTTTCAGAAAATCCACTAATCAATAACACATGCCTTGGCAGTAGTGTTAGATAGTGCAAAAAAATTTTTAGTATTACCAGGAACTATTTGATATACGAAAGTTCTTCTGTCACTAAAACCTTTGGACGAGAGCATACTCTATATGGTTTAAAAGTTATCATTAAATCTAACAAGGATATCAAAAAACTGTATAATAATAGCTACAGCAATATAATTGTATTCAGAATCAAACTACTCTCAGGCATTCTGCCTACTCGCAAAACTTTTCACTAGCTGTATCCTGATCAGTACTTAGATGCTTAGTGCCCAAGGTGTAAACTTCATACTGAAGACATGTATCCTGATTAGTACTCAGATGCTTGGTGCCCAAGGTGTAAACTTTATGCTGAAGAATTGTGGACACTTTTGAATCTTTAATTATACAATATTGGGCAAATAAATTCTATATAAAATTTTTGCCATGTATTTGATAACTCCCGGGGTATAACATACTAAAATTTTATGTCATTTGATTATGTTGCGCAAAGTTATGCAATGAGCAAGACAAATTACTGTTTTTAGATTAGAGCAAAAATCAATTTCCTTTTTTTCTTTAAAAAAGTTTTTTTTTCTGGTTTTTTCTTCTCAAGATTATTCGTAACACTTAGTTAATACTACTTTAAGCAAAAAAAGTAAGTTTGTATAACAAGTTAGTTGAAATTAATATAAAATAAGATTTTTTTTTTCACGGCGATCGATGGGTAGCAAGAAAAATCTAACGAAGGTTCAACGAAGTTCTATAGTCTATGGTCACTTACGAGGAGACTCGCTCTACACTATTGCCACCATCGTTGATTGCAGTAAATCGGCTGTATAGAGTGTCATAAAGAAGTTTAATAGCTTAGGTGCTCCTGAGGCACAAAAAAAAAACCTCCGTCCCGGACGTTCTTTTTCTCTCATCCTCTCTGATCAATCAAATTTAAAGAAGCTAGTTGTCAGTTATGATAATTGTTACTTAAATCTTATACAAATCACTAACCTCTTTAACAGTCTAAATAAAAAAAAAATTTCTAAGAGCACTATTCGTTGTGCTCTGCACAAAACAAACCTGCGTTCATGCATCATCACTTCAAAGCCGTTAATCTCTCCAAAGAATGTCAAAAAAAGGCTGGACTGGTCTCTTGAACATAAAAGCTGGCCTTTACAGAAATTTAAACATATCTTGTGATCAGATGAAACCATGATCTGTCTCTTCCAAGGTTTTTCTGATCATATCTGGCACGAACCAAGTGAAAAATGGAAAACCAATTGTATAGCTTCCTCTGTAAAGCATAGTCAAGATTGTATGTATTGGAGTTGTTTCTCTTGGTTTGGTGTTGGGCCTCTTATTCCTCTGAAATCTAACGCGACTGGTACATCGCACATTGAAATCCTCCGAAAGTACTTTCTCTCTATGCAGAAAAACTTTCCAGAAAGAAAATGACATGGTCATCTGATCCTATAGCAAGACAATGCCAAGCTCCACACCGCTAAAATAGCAAAGGAATTTATTGTCCAACATTGGATTCGTTTAATGAATTGGCCTCCACAGAGCCCAGACTTCAATTCAATAGAAAACCTGTGGGCTGAAGTGAAAAGGTCAGTTCGTCGTAAGGAAAAAAAGCCAAGCAATCTCAAAGATCTGGATACTCTTGTCAAGGAGGCATGGAACGAAATATCTCCTGAATATTGTCGCTGATTGATTGTTAGCATGCCTAATTGAGTTAATATATGCATCGAGGCCGGAGGGGAACCTATAAAATATTAGAATTGAAAATATAAATAAAAAAATTTTAAAAATTAAAAAAAAAAATAATAATAATAAAATTTTAAAATCGATTTCGCTCCTATATCAAAAATAAAGTTAGTAAAGTTTTTTGTATAACTTTTGCAATAATAAATCAAATAATATGAAATTTTAATATGATGTGCTTTGAGATATGCTAAACATATGATAAAAAAATTGTATTGAGTTTACTTGCCTAATATTGTACAATTAAAGATTCAAAAGTGTCTACAATTCATTGGTAGGCCACTGTAGTTAAAAACATCAACCAAATTCTCCATCCAAACAGTAACAAAACACCAATTTCAGATATATAGCAAATAGCCAAACTATCTTGCAGCTTTACAGATAAAATTTTTTCCTTAACAGACTTCTCCAATTGGATTGAGGTAGCTAATAAAGCCATAACACAGTTATACAACCTTATTTGAAAACCATGCTGCTCCACAGCCAACATATTATTATCTACTAAAATTAAATGGAACTTTAACAAACCTTTCACACCATTTTGCTCTTCTAAACCATCCAACAATTATGACTCTTAAGCCGAAACCCAACCAACCATTATCTCTTCTGAAGAAATTATAATCAACCTATCTAATATAGTGCTAATACATTTATCCAATATAAATATAATTATCTTAAATGTATTTAGAAATTAATATCATTATTACTCGATACCTCTTCCCTTAATACTGAGTAGATATTTATAGCTGCTTGGTACCATTTGACAAGATATATTGTTTTAAATTTTCTTTTCAATATTAGTTAAATGGTTACTATAGGCAAGCTAGTATTTAACTCATTGTACTTGCATATAAGAGATATTGTTTCTTTTATAATGTATACCTTGACATATACAAACCAAATAAAAAAATGATATTTATCTACAAAAAATAAAATAAAACTAGAGCATTGTCTTACCTTAGCATTAAAAAAAAAAATTAAGTATTACAAGTAGAATAGTATCAAGTATTAGGTACAAATTAAAAAATACAAATTTAATATTATTTATAAATAAGTTTTTTTTTATAATATAAATATAAACATATTAATAAAAATCAATTTTTTATAAAAACATTTGAAAAAAAAATGTTGAAAATAAATATTGATTTCTTATAAAATATATTTATTATTTCATAATAAATTAAAAATTTCATTAATTATATTAAGTAAAAAGTATTTGTAATTATTAAATAAATTAAATAATATAAACCTGTAGGTTCATAATACAATAGTTGATGCTTTACAAGTCAAATTACAAAATATCAGTTTAATTCCATATAAGAGCAATTGAATAAAATTAATATAATATCTGGTGTCATAATTTGTAAAAGTGCTGTTTTTCATGAGAAGCCATTTTATATACCAATCCAGTAGACATTGAGATTGTAATTTCTAGAAAAGGTATTGTAGCATAACAATTATCTGGTTAGTACTATGATAATTGTTAGAAATTACAAGGTATATGAGATATTTACTTTTGACTAATATATTTAGTAATCACTTTTCTAATATTTGATATCTTTTATATAGATTGCTACTCTAGTCTTATTCCAATCCAGTAATAAACCAATTTGGTGATACTTATCTCAAAAATATATTTGGCAATAAGACCCACTTTATGCAAAGTTATGTAAATTGCTATTTAGGTAATAAAAATTAATTATAAATCTAATGACAGAAGTCGATTGTGACTGAACTGGCCTGGCTGTTATGGTTAGCTTGGCTGGCTGAAATAATTTATAGCTGACCCAGGCCAATGAAAATTTTACTATATAAGTATACTTAGCCAGTCGATTAAGCTGATAAAATTTTTACTAAATAAGGTATGTATGGCTGGCCGACTAAGTTGACAAAAATTTATATTATATATGGTATACAAAATGTTTCAGCCGCTGATAAAATTTCACTTTGCCCCACTTTAACAATAGACTTGCCAAACGATCGTCACAAATTTGGTGGTGACTGTGAGATAGTGAGATAGAACACTGTTCATTTATTTCCTCTGATATTTTTCATGCGAACACCTTTTTTTTTCAACACTTTTCCAACCCCTATTATAAAAAACACAACCATTCATTAGAATCTTTTTGCATTCTACCACCCGACTTCCTAATTTTTACTTTCTTTTATTTCCCCCTAACCTTTAGACATGTGATATAACAACCTGACCTAGGCACAACTCAAGATCTGGAACTTCAAATTAGTTAAACAGTGTGAATATCATTAACTTATCTGATAATCTTATAAAACGACGATGAATTTCCAAATGGGTGGCGACACAACTACCAGACTCCTCCAGCAGCTTGTCACCTTGCAAAAAGTAGCGCGAGCCCTTGATAATAAAGAAAACCTAAATACAGGGCTGAAAAAGCAAGAAGAAAAAGTCTGACGAGTAAAACTACATGGGTTTGAGGGAAAAGCTGAAGAGAGTTCACAAGAGTGATTAAAGTGAAAAGGCCACCGAATTCTATGGTTGGCCAAGTAGTGAGGAGTAAGTTGCTACTTGGAAGGGAATGCCAGGGAGTGGTATGAGACCAGTTCGTCTATTGGGACGAATGTGACAACAGAAAAAGCTTTGTACCGACGTTTGTATAGCATTTCGAAATGCTGGAGCAACGTCGTTGATGGCAAGAAAAATTGGAAACCATTCAGCAAGGCAAGAACGAAAAGGTGATGGAGTACATCTGTAGGTTTGTGAAGCTACTCAAGAAGCTCCAACCAAAGGGCGATTACATCAAAGAAGCGGTGCATTGGTTGCTGGTATTTGGACTAAGGGAAAATATACTAATGCAACCAATTATCGGGAATGCAACTACACCGGGAGAAGCGCTCAAAGAAGCAGTAAAGATTGAACGAGCAAGAGAGTTAGAAGCCTGCATCCAAGGACTAATGAAGCAAGTACAAGAATTATCGACGAAGTGGAACAAACTTGCTGTCCTCGCTAAAGAAAGTGTAAGTGAACCGGAGATGCCGTTGGTAAAGGATTTGGATTGTGAAAACTCAAGGAAGAGAGGCCATAACGCTGAAAATTGTCCAAAGGAGAACAAGTTTTCCCAAGGGTCATCTGAGACAGAAGGGATGCAACTTGACGAGGATGGAGAATTGGAACATTCGTCGAAGGACTTATACACCATGAACCCTGAAGAACGTTGATACAAAGAGATGAATCGTGATTTGCGAAAAGAAAGTAAATTCCCGGAAGAAACAATGGATGATTACCCAAGCAAGATTCTAAAAGACATAAGCTAGAAGAGGATGAATTAGTGATGAATCATAAGCAACAGGAAGAATGATGAAAGTGTAGGCTGCAGCAACATCCCTGTAGAAACACTGAACACCTAGAGGAAATGACAACCGGCCATCCAAGCAAGGATCTGAAGGAACACCCTGACAATGACGGAATCTTAATGACAGAAGATAAGAGAAATAACAATATCAATGAGAGAGAAGGTAACACTGGAGGATGCCTCGAAGAAAAGAAAATACTTATGAGAGCAGACCCTGCGACGAAAAAAAGCAACCAACCATCACGGATAATCGTGATCAGGGAGGAGGATACGCCACTGTGCAAAAGAAACTCATTAACAATAAATCTGATCTTGAAGACACTCAGCATATAATGAAGGAAATAGGCTTGTCAAGGAATTCCTGAATTTAGAGGTGGTGATGATGAAAAATCTGAAGTAACTAAGAAACTGAAACAATGTGACTAATAAAGGTCATAATACATACGCATAGACTGGAAATCAAATACTATCAATATGACACCTGCACTATTACAGTCTGATATCATCTGATCAATTGAAGTAAAGTAAGCAACCAGACTACAATGGCTTCTCTAACAACATCACCGGCTGTAACACTATGATTCTGAGAGATCACCAACTTGACGTACCTAAGGATCAAGCACAAATGGAGAAATAAGATGATTGATGATCTAATCTCTTATCAACAACCAGCACTTGCTGACAGACCATTACAGTCAATCCATTGTATTAAAAACCCTATGTGTGGTATGCATAAGATAAGCGTGGGGAATTATCAGAATAAAATTATGACGCGACGTCAGTCACATGACTAACTGTCGTAATCGTGCTGCGAAAGACCTTTTCTGATCATGGTACTTAAGTGTAAGTGATGGAAAATAGTTAAAATAGTAATAGAATAGCATATTAAAAAATTAGGTAATAAGGAGAGAATTGTGAGAGATGATTAAATAATGTAAATGTTTGTGCCCGAACATTACGTAATTAGAAAGAATCTTAAAAAAACATTAGATAATCGATGTTGCCATATTTTTAGAATGTAAAAGTCGTCCTAACCAAAATGTATAAAAAGATGAAAGCCGACCAGAAAAAAAAATAACGAAGCATACATATATGTGAAATCGCGCATACATACATGTTTAATTAAATGCAGTTATGTCAAGTCAACGAAAAAGCAGACTGAGACGATTTATAGAATATGATCCAAACATTTGTAATACTACAACCACTAGACATCGACAAACTGTATCCACACAATCCACATTATCATATGAATCTCTTTCTCCTTCCACTTTCCCTAATCATAATGAAGAATATTTAACACCATCTATATTATCACCTCTATACTTACCAAGTTCTTCACCATCCACAAGTCTCCCATCTACCTCATATTCAGATCACCAACCCCCTGTCCAAGTACTACAGATAATAAAACATGTGCAACGCAGAGATCGTAACAGTAGCTGGGTATGGGATTATGTAAGTAAAAACATCATTGATGGTTATAAATATTGTCAAGTATTAGTTGTTAAGAATAGTCAAAGTGTTCCATGCGGAAGTTGGTTCAAATTATCATGCTCCACAACAAATATCGGAAACCATCTGAACAAGGTACACCGAATAATGTCAGTATACAATTCCGAAGAAACCATGAAAAAGGTAGCCTCAAATAAAAACCAACAGACAATAGAAAATTGCATCAACATGGCAAAACCATACAAATCAACTAATATCCAGTATCGCTATATTACAACCAGGTTGCTACAGTGGATAGTTAAAGATTTACAACCGATTAATATTGTCAACACACCAACATTCATAAGTTTGTGCGAATCTTTGAATAAACGATACTCTATATCTTGTATAAGTACTATAAAGAAGAAACTACATGAATGTGTAGTGTTTACTAAAGAACATCTATAAAATGAAATCAAAAATTCAATGAAAACATGTAGTTTTACAACAGACCTTTGGACACAATTTCACATACCATATATTGGTGTAACAGTTTACTGGATTACTCCTGAGTTTGAGTTACAGCAAGGACTCTTAACTATAGAAGAATTTTCTTATAGACACTCTGCCATCAGAATTACTGAATTTCTTCATATGTTATTTGAAAAGTAATGTATAAGTGATAAAGTTATTGCAGGAATAAGTGACAATGCCACCAATATGAAAGCTGTACTACAACAACTCAACATTCAACATATAATCTGTTATGCACATACACTACAACTTGCAATAAACAAAGGACTAAAAGAATGTTGTGAATTCATGGCTAAGGCAATGGCATTAAATAAAGCTCTTGTGAATTATGATAAATACTATGAAACACTACGATGTGTGCAACAGTTAATAATCAAAGATAATTTACAAACAAAAATTCTTGAACCTATTACTAATATCAAAACTAGATGGAACTCAACTTACCTTGTCTTGCAATGCCTTCATATACTTTGTAATTCTGTGTATTCCCTGGCTGCTGTTCTCAAAAATGATGTTGAATATTTGGTTCGAAATGATGAAAATAATCTGGAAAATCTCTTATTAAGTAATGATGAATGGTTAGCGTTAAGTAGTTTATTAGAGTTGTTAAAGCCATTTGTTCAAGTTACAGATATTATTGGTGGAAGCGATTATCCAACACTATCTATGATGTATTCTGCTATAAAAAAAATCAAAAATCATCTTGCTCAATTTATATCTCAACATAATATTGTAACAAGAGTAAGAGACTGTATTAATGAGCAGATAAATATATGCTGGCAGAATATTTTGTTGATGGGATCTTTTGCCTCATACTTCGACCCTTGCTTCAAAAAACTAAAATTCTTAACTGCTGAGGAACAAGCAAGCATTATAACAGAAGTACAACAAATTATGGAAACAGATAACCCAGCAAATATAATACTTACGATGCAAATAAATTTAAATCAGAACAGTTTCTTTGATGATATAGATGACGATAGTGTTTCCTCCATACAAAATGAAATACAATTATATTCTACAATATTACCAATCCCAATCCACCCACTCAATGATCCATTGTATAAAATAAAAAATCCACTTAATTGGTAGAAGTTGCACTATAAGACACTACCCAGCCATGCGAGACAAGCTTGCAAATATCTTGCGATACCTGTTTCGTCAGTTCCATCTGAGTGATTATTTTCGGATTCCGGAAATATAATTACTGAAAAACGCAATAGGCTAAGCCCAACTTATGTTCATGATATTCTTTTTTTGAAACATAATTCAAAACTGTTTGATGTGTATTCAGATATAAATATGTAATTATAATAGTTATTATATAGATATTAGTTGTCAATATTGGGTAAAAATAATATTCTATTAAATAATAAAAATAAAATATTAATATATATTCAATATGTTTTCTTATTATCTCTTAAATACATTTGTTTAAATGATATGTTAACATTAGAGAATTAATGTAATAAAATTTTTTTAAAAAGTAATATTTTATTTGGTGTTTAATAAAAATTAATAAAATAATATTGTATATATATATATTACTAAAATAATTTTACTAAAATTAAAATAACTGACTAAAGACTAACTGGGCCGAAAATTTTGTATCAGCCAGGCTGGCCAATAAATTTTTGTTAGCTTTCATCACTATATAAATCTATCTTGAACATTTTTTAATATTATTTGAATAGGTAAGAAATTAAATAGTTAGCTCAGCTGCAGATAATAGTAAAGAGATTTATTTTCAATAGAGCAAGTATGGATTATGTAGCTTTATTTGTTATAGATATTATTTCTAGTGTCCTTTTTAAAATTTTCTTAATTATCCTCTAATAAAAATAAAGATTAATTGCTAGTAAAAATATATACTACTAATCAAATAAAAAAATTTCTTTGTTCAGTAAATTAGCTTCTATATTTAATACAAATTAAGAACAAGTTATAGCAAATATTATTATTTGAAGTAATCATAATAAAAGTTGGATGTAATTATTAATTAATATATTATAGCATTGTTTTCAATAAATATAAACATTATTCTTAAATATAACTTTTAGCCAGATATTACACTGGTATACAATAAAAATAAAATAAAATAAATTGAATAATATTTAAAATATAAAAACAAATATGCTTATAAATATTAATCAACAAAAGTTATAATAAGAAATATTAATTAAGCAATTTAGACATTTGATTAAGTTGTTATTAGAATTAATTGTCCGAAGCAAAGCGAAGGACATTCTATGTTTACGATCCTTGATGAAAATAGAGGTCACGTGTGGATTCTGTCCGTCATGCTTGTGTAATGCATGGTTTTTTTTTTATTATTAGCTTCGGACTTACAATGGTTTCCATTTCCTAGTAATAAAGTATTTTTTTTTGAATAATATTCTTTTATACTATATATAGATAATTATTTTTTATAAGTTTTGGCTATTATTTTAATATTATATAGAAATCAAAATATTGTTTTGAGATTGAAAACTGAATTATAAATTCAATAAGATTTTTCATATTCGCAAAAGTTTTGAACCAATTAAATTTTGAATCAAAATAAATTATACTAATATAAATAACAAGTTGTAATTAAATAAACTTGATAGTACTTTAAAATTTTAATAATTTTTTTTTTTTTTTAAAGTGCACCAACAATAATTGTCTGGCTGAGTATTTATTCAATAATGATGTCTATATATATCTTTTGACATTACTATCTAGGACTATGCTATAATGTATTAGTTATTAACTATACCTAACACTTATCAGGATTGTTTCAAATAACGATATTTGCTATAGCTTGTTCCTAACTATATTAGATATAGAGGCTAATCTATTGAACAAAGATAATCCTTTGTTGGACCAGTAGCATGCATTTTCACTAGTAATTAAACAGCTTTATTTCTAACTGGAGAGAAATTAAGAGAAAGTTGAAAGGGAGCACTAGGGATAATATCTATAGCAAATAAAATTACATGATCACTGCTTGCTTTATCGGGAATAAATTCCTTTACCATTACCTGCAGCTGAGCTAACTATTTAATTTCTTACCTGTCCAATGATACTTATGAATATTCAAGGTACTTATAACTAGTACTTACTACCTGAACACCGATTTACACATTGTAGAGAACAGGACTTATAGCCAGAAGCCTTTTTGGGATAAGTACTGCCAGACTGGTTTATTACTAGATTGAAATAAGACTAGGGCAGAGATCTGCATGAAAGACACCGGATATTAGGGAAAGGATCACCAAATCTATTTATTGAAAGCGGAACACCTCATATACCTTGCAACTTCTGATGATTATTGTAACACCAACTGGACGATCG